ACCCCATCGGGCCACATGAATGAGGAGGGGCTTGATGTAAGCAGATTTTCCAGCTAATTCAGGTGTCAGATTCTTAAAGTTTGGACTCCTTTAAAAGTGGTTTTTGCATAATTTATGATATGTCTTTAGCACCTTAGGCAGAAGAGGCTAAAACGATTTTGTCTTTAGGGACAACTGTGATCACCGTGTATTGTGAAAAACCAGGCTACGTTCTGAGCGTCTCTGAGGTGTGTGGTAAATGGCACAAGGGGCTGTTTCTGGTCCATCAAATGACTTCAGGCTGCTGTATTTTTAAGTTGTCAGCTTTGGTTTTATTTTGTCATTCCAGGATCGGTGTCTGGTCTTACAGCAGTGCACGTGCCTCTAGCACGTTCTGTCTCCTGAGCCCTTCACCCTTCCATTTTGGTGCTTCTAATTTGTTGTGCATTTGAAACCTGCTAGATAATCTTGCCAGAATATATTTCAATTAAGATAGGCTCAGAGTCATGCCTCCAGAGGGTGAGCTAGGAATCCTGTAGTGTTCTTATGGTAGGAGTGTAACCTGTGAGCAGACAAAGGCGGTTCCTTTACCCCTTAGGTTCCTAGTTTACACCTTTGAATTATTCATTGTCCATTGACTGTCTGCTGTGTGCTAGGAACACACAGAGTTGAAGAAAACATTCCTGCAGTTCCCATACTCTGTTCTGGGGATAGAGAAATAGATATAATATGAAGCAAAGCAGAGACCATGTGATGAAGGTGTAAATAACATACTTTGGGCTTGGAGAAAGAAGAGTCATGAATTTCACCAAACTTAATGGAAGAGGTAAGAGATGGGAGGGTAAGATGGGAAGGACAGGTTAGTCATGGAGAGACAGAGTGGATGGGAGAGGATGTCCCACGTGGTAGCAAAAGCATGAGCAAAGGTAGCCAACTAAAGGGTGTGCGGGAGGGATGGGGCTTGTTTGGTGTGGTTGAAGCATAAAACGCGTTCTGCTGGGCATCCAGAGGGACTCAGTGACTTGTTACCAAACACCTATTGTTCGTAGCACGTAGCTCCTAGAAGGTGAGTGCCTCTCCTTCTCCCTTCTTACGTTCTATAAAATCTGCATGAACACGTGTACAGCCAAGTTTGTAAACGAAGATCCCATTGGTTTTCTAATTGCGTGTGCCCTTAAACAAAACAAAGTTATACAGGCAAAGGTCAGTACAGCAGTGTCCTTGTCCCTAGTTTTGAAACATTTTGTTTTAAAAACCGTTTGTAAAGTTTTTGAAACTTTTTGTCTTGTTCTTGTATTTTTAGAGTTTATATCTATAGCTGATAGTGGTATTTTTCTTTGCACTTCTAGTACGGCCAAGTACAGCGTGTTGACATTTCTACCTCGATTCTTGTATGAGCAGATTAGAAGAGCTGCTAATGCCTTCTTCCTCTTCATTGCCTTATTACAGGTAATGTTTTTAAAAAAGTTTTTAAGAATTCACAACCTTAATTCCATGCAAAATGAGATTTTGCTAAAAGGTTACTTAGCAGAAAAAATGTTAACAATATTTGAATACAGTTTGTTTCCGTCATCCAGTCATTGATAGACTGAACAAACGTGACTCTGCATGGGGCCCTTCAAAAAGCTCGTGGAAAGATTTGTACTGTCTATTTTTCTATGAACTTTTTGAAGTAACCACCTATGAAGGAAGGCTTCTTTTGGTATCGCCTTAAGGGTAATTGCAGTTTCTAAAAGGCATTGAAAAGTGGCCCTAGCATCTACCTTCAACCCAGTCCAAACACATAATCAGTGTTGGATAAAATTTTTAAAAATATGAAATACATAGCTAGTTTTTAAAATAAGCTAATTGTTGTGTTGAAAAGTGGCCCTAGCATCTACCTTCAACCCAGTCCAAACACATAATCAGTATTGGATAAAATTTTTAAAAATATGAAATACATAGCTAGTTTTTAAAATAAGCTAATTGTTGTTGTGTAACAGAAATGTAAGGGAACTGCAAAAGAACAAGTGGTGAGTGCCGTCTTTTCTTTTTCGTGGAGAGGATTTTCGTGTGCCAACTTCCCTCTGTGGTTTGTTTTCTTACAGCAAATTCCAGATGTATCTCCAACAGGAAGATATACCACCCTGGTGCCACTGATCATTATTTTAACAATTGCAGGCATCAAAGAGATTGTAGAAGATTTTGTAAGTTTTTGCTTTCAGATAATAAAAACATCATATAAAATAGAACATAACTTAATTGTAGCTTTGGGTTTTGCCTTTTTAGACAGGAAATTGGGCCTTTCGACATTGGTGATGGTGTTTTTTGGGAGGGATTGTACTCAGAGTGAATTAAATACCTGTAC